AAGTGACTCCAGCAAGTAACCGCCACTGCCCGCTGGAGCAAGTGACCGCACGTGACCCCATCGCAAGTGCGCCGCAAGTGACTCCAACAAGTAACCGCCACTGCCCGCTGGAGCAAATGACCGGACGTGACCCCACCGCACGTAGGCCGCAAGTGCCTCCAACAAGTAACCGCCACTGCCCGCTGGAGCAAGTGACCGCACGTCACCCCACCGCAAGAGCGAGTGGCCGCAAGTGACTGCAGCAAGTAACCGCCACTGCTCGTTGGAGCAAGTGACCGCAAGTGACGGCAGCGAGTGCAAGTGACCGTGCCGCCAGTGACCACAGTAAGAGACCCCTTAAGAGACTGCTGGAGCACGTGACCGAAGTGACCGCCACCGCGTGCTGGAGCAGGTGACAGCAAGTGACCACCACTGTCCGCTGGCGCAAGTGACTGCACGTGACCGCACCGCAAGTCGCCGCACTGCATGCGGTCACATTGGATGCTAGTATTTCACGCGCATGAGATCGTTTCATGCGCATGATCATGTCATGCGCACGACATCATTTCATGTGCGCTTCATGATTTCATGTGCATGACATCATTTCATGGGCAGAGTATTATTTCGGCTGCTGTTAGTATTATTTCGGCTGCTGTTAGTAAAACTACAGTATTCCCATGAGAAGTATTACTTCATGCGCGTGACATCATGTCATGCGCACGACATCATTCCGCGTGCACCGTATCATTTCATGTGCATGACATCATATTGTGCGCATGATAGTATTTTGTCTAATTTCATGTGCTTTTGTGAGTAGGTTGGTTGCTGTGACTCTGGTAAGCCTTGTTGCTGGTCATCGGTTGGCAGCTGGTGTTGTTGCTGGGGTGATTTTGCTTGAGCTTTTTGTGCTAATCGAAAATGTCAGGCTGCGCGACTCGTAGACTTGTTCCCCAGATAGCGACAGCTATGGGGTTCTTACTTCAAATAAGAATGACCTATGGCAAACACAGGTCAATGCAGTACATGGCTAAGCCAAAGAAGGCAACTGCGTAGGAAGGAAAAAGCCAAGCGCAGTGTCCGTGCTCTGAGGAAATCTTCATTTTGATTGGGTCTGCGCATTCGTGTTTACAAGGGGGGCAACATATGTCACAACCTGGATCCATAAATTTCATGTTTTAGCCCTTGTACGGCGTCCCATTGTAAAGTCAATGAAAAACAGAATTTTAATGCTTTCCCTTTGAATCTTGTATGTGCGTCTACATGGTGGACTACAGTTTTCTTCCTCTAGGAAATACTGCTGGCCATATTGTTCGGAGATCTCATTTTTGAACATTGCCCTGTTTGGGGTCTACGCTGGTATAATTATTCTTTTTAAATAGAAGTCCACTCCGACCATATTCTGACCCAGTGAAAGTAAAGGAAGTTCAGTCAGTTTGTCGGGTCACATGTGAAACAAGTCTTTGACCCAGACCATTCTTTTGAACAGCTTGAACACAGATCACCGAATGCACTCCCAGCTGCGCCGTCAATGGCTCCCGAAAAAACATGCAGGTCTGCCATCGGTCGTCGCTTGTCGGCGCGACGCGAGCTGGACGTGCGACGCTTGCAGCAAGTCTTTCGTTCCTTGGAGCGGCGGGTGCTTCGGTGGCTGGGCTTGGGGAGTTGCTGCAAACTCAGTCAGTTAGATGTTTTGGCGTTGCTGCATGGTTCAGAATGTGGTTTTTTGAATCCATTTGGAGTAAAGTAAACTGGATGCAATCTTTAAGACGGTTGTCTATTTGGTAACGGAGATGCTGGAGATAATGAGTTGGTGATATATTCAGCCATTGGAAACTGGTTCGGTCCGTGGGTTTCAGGCAGTTTCAGGTGGAACGTGAGTTCCTCACCTCCAGAACAAGCCAATGGCCTGGGAGTGGCCATCTCCTTGAGATGTTTCCAAGCATCCTTTATATTCCTTTTATACCTGTTGTTTTGATACCTTTGAGTACTATAAATCACAAACACATCTCAACATATTCCTTATGATTCGAGGCAATTCGTGTCCTGTTCTTAGGGTCAAGTCAATGTTCGCGGAGACCAGACTCCAGTGCATTCTTGGGCCATCTCAGCTCCAGGGTCTAGTTTTCTCGCGGCGACCCTTTTACTGACAATTGGTCTTGGAAGTTTTCTGAAAAGAACTGTATGGAGAACACCCACCTGCGGTCCTTTTCTCCAGCTGGTCAGGATCTTGCTTATATACATCGTTTGCCGATGGCATCGATGAAAAACGATCGCGGCCTCCGTGTCCAGGTTGCCCGGATGGGTGTGAAATCCCGATTCAATATGTGAAACTTGTCTGAAGATGGACTGGACAACGGACTGGCAGCAAGTCTGGTACCTCGGTGTCTGGACTTCTGGGAGAAGATCAAGACCATTCAACAAAAAACCCGTCTGTCGGGGAGTTCGGATTCCCTTCCTTTGCTTTGACGGATGTACGGTCACGAAGATTGGATCCGAGCCAAGTGAGGAAACTCTAAGATCTGAGATTGTTGGGATTTGGAAACCCCAAGATCTGACTCTGACCGTCTGAGTAGGATCGATTCGGACTTCATTTCGGACCATGAAATCGATTCGGAGCTGCCCAGTTCAGCGGGAAACGGATCGATTCGGACGCAGTCAGTCGGTTTTCGCGATGCTGTTGGAAGCACCTTTTTCGCAGAGCCTTGGCATTCTTTGTGCGAGGGTCCAGGCAAACCACGATGTCGCTGGTAATTAACGAGTGGTTCCAAAGACAAGAACCCATAGACCGAAGGACCACCCTGGTTCCTTATACAGTAGGATCCACTGGGTCGCTTCTCTTCGGTCTGCCCCGAGCTATCGATTCCATGACCGAGTCCACTTGGGAGACGGGCGAGGTCGGCTGTTTGGTGGGCCATGGCAGCCATGGCACTGGGGGAGCCTGGTTGGCCAAAAGACTAGACGCCCCCTGGGTGCCCCCCGACCTCCCGGCAGGCACTTCTGACCCCAACCTGGCCTGAAGAGGCACCGCTTTACTTCCCGCGTCCGCTACGTAGCGATCCTTCAGCGTTCTGAGACTGATCCTACAGACTAAAATCCCTTGAAATCTTGGGAATGTCCGTCTTGTCACACACATCACAGTGATGACGAGCTCAGGAACGATGACTTCTGCGATTGCTCGAACTGTGCTGACGAGCTGGATTGGACCTGCGGCACTTGTGGAGCAGCAGCCCAAGAGGAGGAAAATACTGCGACAGGCAGATCTGGGCGACCTCGTCAGTAAGTGGTTGCTATCGACAGGTCAGGAAGCCCTGAGTTGCGACCCACACCCCTCTTCAGCCAGGTTTTTGCATGGCATTGACTTTGGGTCACGAATCTGCTGAGCTCAGCGATGCTTCTGAGGTCAGTCTCTCCCTCCCGTCGAGGTCCCGCGTCAGTCTCTCCCCGGCCGCAGGCGTCGGTGTGGGCGTGGGCGTTGGCACGGCCCTGGCGTTGGGCATTGGCTTGGGCGTAGGCCTCGGCACTGGAGTTGGTGCTGGGGCTGGCACTGCCAGCTCTGCCGGTACGGCGGGACTGGTGGGCTTGGTGGCTTTGGCGGCGCAAGGGCTCCTGAGGCAGATGGCAGATGGGGGAGATGGAGAGATGAGTCCAATCGAATAAGACCCCTCATATGAAGAGAAATGGGGGTGTTGATCAATGCATAACATAAAATCCAATAGTACAATGGCTTATGGTCGAAAATGGCTTCTGGCTTATGGCTTCCGGGCCCCACCCTGGGCGTCATCCATGCTTGTGACGACGTGGGTCGTTCGACAGCACGAACGCCGTGAGATCCACGCCGTTCGTGCATGTTTTTGGGCTGACAAGGGGAGACAATTTGAGCCTATGGAATGAGTCCAGAGGTATTCAGAACATTTAGAGGTGAGAGAACTCCAAAAAAATTGCAGTAAAACATCACATTAAGTGCCAAACATTGAAGATGCTCCGATCCCGAGCGATCCCGATCCCGCCTTATGGGCAGGCTTCGGGTGTCCAACAGCGCCACGTTGCAAGACCCCAACTTTGCCGATGCCTCGAAGGACGGACGGACCGCTTTCCGCGTGCCCCGGTTCCCTCGGTCGCGCTGGGGTCACATGGAAGTGAAAACGCCGCGAAAGTGCGCGTGCTTGCGAAAAAGCAAAGCAATGATTTGAAAGAGCTGTGGACCAGTCCTTTCATCGAGATCGAACTCCTGATCCAAAAGAAAGGTGGTCCCGAGCTTTTGGGGTCGATGGCGCGAGGTTGGTCGATGCGGACGCCATGTTGGAAAGCTTTTCAGCACTGAAAGCACCCCACATGTTCTGGGGGTTGGCAGGAAACCGTCGCGCGACTGTCTGGGAGTGGAGTTGCTGCGGCGATGGTGGAGCTCATCATCAACTGTGCCAATGCCGCTGGGTGTTTCATCCGGCTGAAAGCGTCCGAAAGCCGCCAGAGGTGGGTTTTCCGAAAGCACAATTTTTGTAATTACCGTGTACCCGTGTACTTTACAGCCAGCAAACATTTTCCAAACATACCGATATGCCATAAAGCTTGGTTTCCCCAGCACCTCCGAGCATTGCTTCAGCGATCGGCGATTCCTGGAGCTGATCCAAACAGTCATCGGTTCAGCCAAGCAGGGCTTGCTTAGAGAAGATGCGGAACCTGGTTTGTTGCAGAAGTGTAGAAAGACTTCACATGTACTCAAGGAGAGACGGAACCCGGTCTCGGATGGGTGTCTTCACCTGCAGAACACGCAGAACACTTGTAAACCTGGGGAGGGTAATTGGCATGGGGAGGATTCCAGTGGCCAGTCTCCTTTCCTATTTCAAGTAGTTCCACAAAGAGTGTCTTGCATTCGAGAAGGGTGTACTTCGTGTCTACGGCCTCGCACATCTGATGTGTCTGCAGTTCATCTCCACTCACCAGCCGTTTGGAGCACATCTGGACTCACCAGGATTCAGGAGGGAACTTTCTTGTATACTTTGTTTGACCTTCGTATCACTCACAACGAGTGGACCCACAGCAGGCTTCTCTTCTTCATTTTTGAAGGGCTTGAGCCCTCAGCCAGACCCTGGTTGAAAAGGCAAGTACACGAGCAACAACTTGGGACAGGCAGGTCTCCAGATAAACCCAGTTGACACAGGCCGTTGATGAATACAACCCCTCCACCGGAAGGATTTTACATCTCCATGAGGGTTTTTTATTGATCAACAGGGAACATTACCGTTAAGTTTCGAGGGCTGATTTTTGAGCCATTGGCCATTTGTTGAGGGAGCTCAATTTCACTGTTCACATGCTCCTTTTGCAGGCAGCTGCGCCTGCGGGCATGCCGACCATGCCAGCTGTGAATCTTGGCTGTTGTACTCAAAAGAGCCCCGGCTCTTGGACGTTGGGCCAAACAACATGGCTGTGAGTCAATACCTCCCTCAGGAAACCATTTGATCCTGGACAATCCAGGATCTGTCCATTTGACCCGGGGTCAACCAGGGTGCTCTTCCTATCTCAGCGCATCAAACCAACTGAAAACGCCGCAGTGCCGGCGACGCTCCGGCTCTTGGACCTGGAAGAGAGACACGAGGAGAGACACGTGAGGTACTCACTCACACATTAAGGCCCGTTCGCCTTCAGTTTGACCATATAAAAGAAAGGTTGAGCTGGTGTTGTAGTGTAAAAAGGATTGGCAAAACAAGGGTTCTTTTGTAAAGTCTCAGAGGTTTCAAGGCCGTGCTGCCCATCCAAGGAGTCTGCCCTACGAGGGGTCAAGCCAACCAAAGGCTGGGTTGTGCCAGAGTGGCCGCTGGAGTCTTTGTCTCGGTTGCAGGACATTCTCAGCTTCGGGGTTTGTACAGAGGCCTTACTGGGTTGTGATTTGCTTCCACCACACAGAGGGAAGCCATCATCACTGGGGTTGCTTTGCACAGGCCTTCCTGGGTTGTGAAACATCCTCTTAGTGTTTCGGAGTGCTGTTTTGTCGGACCTTGGCTGCCTCTCATTTGGGGATCGGTTTTCGTCGCAGCGCTGTGTCTGCGCTATGTCTGGGTCCATGGCTAAGCAGGAATCATTTGGGGTGCAACCTCTGCAGACCTCTGCAGGAACAGTATATAGGTAGAGTGTTCTAGGAGCCTGTAACAAGCAAAAACTCCCACGCCTTAGTGGACGGAGCGCAGGCCGCAGGTCTGTCTCTTGGCTGGGCAGAAACTCCCAAATCACTTTTTTTGTGTCGATCTTTCAAAGACTTGCTGGTTTTGCTGGGGTCAGTTTCTTGAATTCAGATTGAAGTCTTGCTCAGCAAACCTTTTTGGGGAACCCCCTCGTGGATTTCCCCCGTCCTGATCTGCTGTTCTTTGCTCCTGATCCGGCTCCTGACCCCCTTTTGATTGCAGGGCGGGCGCGGGGGCGTGCAGAGCCGGCTCCTGCGGGCGGCCCGGCGCTTGCAAGAGACGGTGGGCGTCTGCTTTCAGGTGCGCGTGGGCGATGACGCCGCGGAGGACCGGGGTTTTGGGAAGGGAGGGAGGGTAGGAGAGAGGAGTAGGATGGAGTAGGGCAGTAGGAGTCGGAGTCATGCAAGGTGTAAGGTGGTTTAGAAGGGCGCTGAAGCCTATGGTTTGGGAATCAAAGACGATCAAAAGGGTAGCTGAATCGAGTTTTTTCTTTTTTTGATGTTTATTTTTCCTGAAGTATAGGAGAAGTAAAAGTCTTTGGACTTCTGGGAGCCCATGACCTCAAAGAAAGCGTTCTTTTAACAGGCGTTGTTCTTTTCGTGCCCGCTCTCCTGGCTCTTGAGTCTTGCCACACGACCACGACCGGTTGTGATGGAAGTCCAGGAACCCACGATCTAAAAGGCATCCCCGAAGTCCAAGAAATTCCTGTAAAGATCACGGGATCACGCCTGCCACAAGGAGTCCAGACTCAATAGGAGTCCACCAGACTCTTTAAATGGATGCCATCGAGACACCAGGGGACCTGACCTCAGCGCCTAGGAGGTGTGCCAAAGCCTCAGCGCCTATGACACGAACACGGTGCAGACGGTGCTCTCCTCCGAACTCTTGGAAGCTGGCATCAACCCTGAGGACGTGTCAGTTGTGGGTCCTCTGAATGGAAACAACACGCTTGACCCGAACCGCGAGAGAACGTGCGAACGTGCAACCCCTTGGCTGACCCGTGCGTCTTTGGCTGACCCGGTAGCCTTCTTCGAAGAAGGCTTGACCATTTAGACTTTGCCTCGTTTTTTTTGGAGTTGGCAAGTCTTGCAATGTTTGTTCCTGGTGTCTTTTGGTGGCTTTCGGCTTCTGTGGCTTGTCTTTGGTGTCTTTGGCTCTTAGCTCATGTGGTATACCGTATACCAGATCAGTTCTTGCTTGGTTAGCTTTGAGGAGGGGCCAGACGGCTGCGCTGCACGTGCTGCGCCCTTTCCAGAACACACTGAAAACCTTTTCAAACCGAAGCCAAGAACAACAAAGGCCAAAGGCCAGACAAGCTTAAAGCAACCTTTGCTGGGGAAATTCTTGGAAATAGAGGATTTATTCTAGGGAGAAACCCTGGTCGGTTGTCCTTTTTCTTTACCATTCCTAATGTTTTTTGTTTTCCTTCTCCATTTCTGTTTCCTTGGCGTTTCCTCTTCCTGTTCCCTTGTCTGTGTTAGCTTTCTTTTATTATTCGTTTCATTTCTTTTCATGTCCTTTGTCTTTTACTTTCCTTTGCCTTGGCTGTTCTTTTTCCTTTGAATTCCTGTTGTTTTAGAACGACCTGGGGAGGAATCATATTTAAACAAATGTATTTGTACAAATGAAAGTCGGACGTCCCAACAAAAGCCGTCACGGACCACTTTCAAGTACAACATCACCAGAGATAGTCCAGAAGCTGCATGTAATTTTCTAGACTTTAATATCAGATGCTTTTGTAGCTCTTTCAAAACACTCCCTCTCAATGCCTCTCAAGGTATTTTGTCCTCCACCACCGTCTCAGGTTATGACGCAACTCCCAATCCTCGCTCTTACAATCCTCTGCTCGACGATGACACCAGCTTTTTTGCTCCTCCCTCTGGATTTGCTCTTGGGAGACTTTGAGGCGGGCCCGCTTCTCAACCTGGTTCCGTGTTCCCTTTTTTTTAGTACCCAAGTGCTCCGGCAATTTGTCTCGACCTGATTGTTGTGTTTTTGGGCTGAAACGATCGCGGTTGGAACTTGTCTGGCTCTCAGATGACTGAGTAGTAGAAGTACTAGCTAGCCGTCCACCTACGTCAGCCACAATCCCAGGTGGTTGGGCGAAGAGCAAAAGCTTGTCGCTATTGTTCTACAGTCGTTGTCCCTTTTTTCCCAAGTCTTTGGAGATCGGTCGCTCCCAGAAGTTATGCAGTGCCAGGTGTTTGTGGAGATTTGCCGGTACTCAGACACTCAGACCCATGAACTTGTCATGAAGCTGCCTGAAGGACAAGTAGATAGCCGTAGATAGCATGCAGCCAGACCTTTTTGCATAGCAGTGTGTGTGTGCACTGAAGTATTTGAAAGCTGTTTCTATGTCTTGAATTCTGAGACATGTGAGCCAGCGCGACCCTTGCCATCCAAAGTGAGGCACTTCGCCGCAAGGCATTAAACGTCCCCAGGGCTCCCCCGACCTATTCTTATTGCACCCAAGTCAACAAAGGCCCCCCGCATTGGTTCGGGAGAACTGGAGCAACTCCAACACGGAGACGCTTCACCAGTCCCTTGAAGCAAAACAAGGCCAATTGCCGGATCAGATTCGAATTCGCCAAACAAGGAGGGACTTGAACATCCAGTAGTGGCCACATGCATGAAATCACACGCAGAAAACGAACCACTCGAGAAGGGACGGAACCGTTTTTTCGGTTTTGGCAGCAGTTGGTGGGTGAAATCGCAGCTGCTGCGCAGTGGGCATCGCGCCACCCCAATGTATTCGTTTCGGTCGGGATTTGGGCGATCTTTCACCCTGGAAGGCCGTACGAAAGGGTTTAACGGTGGGAAGTCGATTCGACATACCTGGCTTTTTGGATGGCTTTGCCACTGGGTATGAGATGGTATGAGGAATGCCTCCAACTAAGGTGGGTGCCACCGGCCGGCCCTGCGTTTCCTACTTCTCATTTGCAAGCATGTTTTTGATGCTGTGTCATGGTTGCCTGATTGATTTCACGGCGCTTTGCATGACTTTGTGCATTTTTAAAAACGCTTTCCCGTTTCACAATCAAGGTCCACAAAGTACTTCAAGATGCCAAAACGCGGCTTTCGCTCGAGACTTCTTCCGATTTCTGAAAATGAGCCACATGTCCAAAGGACACGATGCACGCTGAACCACCACCATATCCAAAGTGCTGCGCCTGCCAGGAAATCTGCACATCGAAGGAAAACCGCTGCGCTGTGCCTGCAGAGAAAAGTTTACTTTGGACCAAAACACGAGGTTTCCCTCGCGCCTGCCACAAAAAGTGACCACCAAGTCCGAAAATGTGCAGTCAAAATGCACTTCGAAGACTCCAAGGTGAATGGGTGTACTGTAAGTAGCTGCGAAATAGCCACCCACTAATGCGAGCACCTCGATCAGACAGCCGGCCTTAACTGTTACAGTCGTAAGAGCCTCTAGTGTGACCACACTGTTTGGGGAACAAAGGTTTTAAAACCACGCGCCAGTGAAGCCACTGGGGCCGTGGGTGGCAACCCCCCACCCCAAAAGAAAGAGCGGAGAGCAAGAAAGTAGGGAGTTGCCGCGGTACTCGCTGAGCCGACTGTTTTTGCCAGCTATGTGAATCCGAGGTGAATCTGATCAAGGCAGGAGAAAGGGAGAAGGGATTGAAGAGAGAAAGGTTTGGAGCAGGGCTTCGGAGAAACATTGGTGACGTCTGGTTTCTTTCTCCAGATTTTTCATTTTGGGCACTTCCCTGATAGAGAAGTGAGGGGAAGGTGCACTTAGCGCAGTTGCACCCAGTGGCAGGAAACGATAAGCTTTGGCCCTTTTTCTGTCAAAATCCGCCGCCCGTCAATCACTTAACTGCACGGATCAAGATGTAGGTCCCCAGGTTGATTGGGCTGACGGCCCCCAGGGGAAGCTATGTTGGCAGAATCATACTACCACATGCCTAGCCATGAGAAGTCGTCTACCAAGGAAGTAATTTAGTATATATCATAGTTGGTTTTGTTCACTCCCATGTAGCTTTGATACTAGGATAGGCTGGACTTGTCGACACATTTTTGAGGTTCTTTGATGTTTGGGGATCAGATTCAGATCTAAAAATCCGATGTCCAGATCCATCCAGCATCTTCCTGCTTTCATGGCCGGCGTTCGCGGCGTTCTTGGTCGACCATGTCGAACCGTGCCTTGATTCGCCATGAGTCCCAGGCCAGGAGGACTGAGAAGGTTTTCATGTGCAGCTAAGTAGTTTAGGACATTGGTTCGGGTTTGCAGGGGTTGGGTCGAATCTCTGCCAACACTTCCCCTTGGCACATCTTGGCACTGCAAAAGAAACACAAGTTGGGCCTAGAACTAGATGTTCATTAGCTTCTGCAGAGCATGTAGAATTTCCACTCGACATGTTTTTTGGTATTCTTTCCTCATAGAACATATTATCATGTTTTTTTTTTCAGAGAAGCGCCCTCACGCTTCTTCCCTCCATTCTTTCGTTGGATCCCTCCGAAGGTCATATTTTTTGAGGTCGACCTTTTCAGTCAGACATCAAATTGCCGCAGCGATACAAGGTCGTTCACCTTTTTTTGGCTTTCTGCACGAGGAGTTCAAAATCTTCCCCTTCCTCACCTACCACGGTACATGCCTTTGTTTTTCTATTTTTTAGATAAGCGCTGGTGTCTAAAAGCATCTAGGAGATATCTAAAAGCATCACCTTTGGTCTTGGCTCCTTGAGAGTGGACGCATGCAAGATGACACCTTTTCAAATCAGGCCCTACTCAAGTCTATAAACATTGATATGTGATATGTGCTATGTGAGAAATGCACAAAACACAGCTCTTTCAAGTGTTTGGACACCTCTCAGAGGGAATACTGGGGGCACTGTAGACCTGTCTACACCCTAACTGGGACTGCTTGAGCCCGCCGGCCACTTTTTTCTTTTCCAGACTCTTTGACTCGAAGACGAGGATTTGACGGGTGACTCCGGGTGACCTGCACTGTAGCTTCCCCACCCCGTCTCAAGTCAGTCTCACCTCCTCAAACCCCCGCGTCTCCCCCCCGACCGGTCTCCGCCGTCGCCAGCCTCTCCGCGATGGGGCCACTGACGCGTCCGACAATGACGACGACGCGACTGGCCGCGGCGTGGGGACGTGGTTCCCGTGCTGGGCCGGTGGCCGCCGGAGGGCACTGGTGCTGGGCATCGGCGGCCTGGCACTGCTCGCGCTGCTCGCGCTTGCGGCCAGGGTGCTCTCAAGGCCGGAGAATGGAACGAGCTTGCAGGCGAGGAGCGCTGGGGTCGTGGTAAGCCATGGCGGACCACGGTAGATTGAAAGAAAGTGGAAGACCAGTTGGGAAGACTCAACAGGGTCTTGCATCTTCGACAGAAACGAAATTGGAATTTGTCGCTTTTCAGACACCTGCAAAATTTGAGGTCCTAGTAGCCCTAGCTTCTTTGGGCAGAGAATCCAAGTCCTAGTAGTCCTCTAGCGTTCCGTCGTTTAAGAAGAACACAGATGGATGAGCACGGGATTTCATACAACACCTCAGCACTGTTATGAAACCACAACAACACTTTGCCAAAACTTAATGTCAGACTCATGTCATGCTAGTGGCTATTCCTAGAATGCGTATGGTGTCATTAGCCAATGCAGAATGGCAAGATCGGAATTCTTTGGATGGAAAATCTGAAAGTTGTGGAGCAAGTGGAGCAAGAGCAATGCGAGTGGTCTTTCTTTGGTCTAAAGTTTGATGATCGGGTTTAGGCACCTCGACTGTCACAAGCACATTGATTGTCACAAAGCAACATCGATCTGCCAGATGACTTTAGTTTCGATTGTGGATTCTACCAGCAAGGGGTGTCCATTCATAGCTCCCAAAAGAAGTGACGCGGCCGCGGGGGTCTCCATTCACCACCCAGCTCCCGTTTATTATATATTTGGCTGCAGAAGATGCCAACATCTTTGGATCGTACGTCTGACTTGGTGACCTGCTGGCTTTTCGTTAGGCGCATCCGATGCAGCTGCAAGAGGCCTCAGGATGTCCCGCTGTGCTTTGGCATTTGGGTGCTTTGGGGGGATGAAACTGGATGAAATCATCCAGCTCTCGGTTGTTTCTACTAATAATTGGTTACTTTTTTGTTGATGTAGTTACTCGCTTTCGGGATGTCCTTTCTGTTTCCGAAAGCAGACATACGAAGCCATTGAGGTGTGCGGGGAGTTTGTACAATGCACTGCCTCAGCTGTGAAACCTCTCATCCCTACCCCAATCTCCATAACAACGACGACAACAACCACAACAACGACGACCACAACAACCACAACAACGACGACCACAACAACGACCACCACCACAACGACGACGACAACGACGACGACGACGACGACGACCACGACCACGACCACGACCACGACCACGACCACGACCACGAC